ATCCTTGCACACTGTTGGTTTAAAAGTAAATGAGGACAGCCATTATGAAAAACAAAATTGAGATTTATCAAAAAACTACCACGTAATACAGCAATTGCACTACTGGATATATATCCAAAACAAAGTAAGAATGAAGAAACATTTGCACTTCTATTGTTTGCAGCACTTGTTTCACAATAGCCAAAATACAGAATAAACAGTTCAACATCTAATGAGTAAATGAAGACAATGTGGTTGATATACACAATGGAATACTATTTATTATTCAAACGAGAAAATCCCTTATTTTTCCTACTGAGACAGAGTCTCACTCTGTTGCCCAGGCTGGCGTGCAGTGGCAAGATCTCAGCTCACTGCAACCTCTGCATCCCTGGTTCAAAGGATTCTCATGCCTCAGCCTCTGGAGTAGCTGAGATTACAGGCATGCACCACCATGCCCAGCTGAGGTTTGTTGTTGTTGTTTTTGTTTTTGTATTTTTAGTAGAGACGGGGTTTTTCCATGTTGCCCAGACTGGTCTCACACTCCTGGGCTCAAGCAATCCACTGGCCTTGGCCTCCCACAGAGCCTGGGATTACAGGTGTGAGCCACCACTCCTGGCCTAAAAAAAAAAAAAAAAACCTATTATTCTAAATCACATGGATTAAGCTGGAGGACATTATATTAGTTGGGATAAGCAAGGCACAGAAAGATTAATATCTCATAATTTCACTTACACATGGATTCCAAAAAACTTAATCCCATTGATGTAGAGTAAAATGGTGACCATCAGATGTCAAGTTATTTACAAGAAATGGAGGGATGGAAACATGTTTGTGAAATAATACACAATTATAGTCGAATGGAAGAAACAAATTCAAGAGATTTATTGTACAACATAGTGACTATAGTTCATAATAATGTATTTGGATTTTTGAAAAATGGTGACAGTCATGTGGTCTCACCACAAAAATGTTAACTATATGAGGTAAAGTTTTTTTTGTTTTGTTTTGCCTTTTTTTTTTTTTTTTCCCACATGAAGTCTCACTCTGTCCCCCAGTCTGGAGTGCAGTGGAGTGATCTCAGCTCACTGCAACCACCACCTCCTAGATTCGAGCAATTTTCCTGCCTCAGCCTCCCAGGTAGCTGGATTACAGGCATGCGTCACCACACGCAGCTTATTTTGTATTTGTAGTAGAGAGGGGGTTTCCCCATGGTCGCCAGGCTGGTCCCGAACTCCTGACCTCAGGTGATCTGCCTGCTTTGGCCTCCCAAATTGCTGGGATTATAAGCATGAGCCACCACACCTGGCCAATGTGAGATAAATTATTAGAAATAATAATTTAACAATGTATATATACTTCAAAATATTATGTTCTACATAAAAAGTACAGATTTTATCTGTCACATTAAAATATTTATAAAACATTATAGAAGAATAACAATGTGTCAAATACTGTATGTCTTTGTGATAATCTTGGCTAAATGGTATCAAAAATAAATAGTTTTGGGGCTATATTGTTATCTAATTTTTAAATCATAACCATAGAAACTTCTGATATTTAACAGCATGGTTTGGACCCAGCACAGTGCATGAGAGGAGCCAACACACTTTAGGATTTTTACTTTAAGCTTGGGGTACACCTGGAGTTTCTGGTGCTGATGGTAATGGTATGAAAGACACTCAAAGAGCAGGTGTTGCTTATGGTCCCATTACTGGCCACTCTGTGAACACATTAAAATAGTTTTCATGCAAAATAACAGACATGTTTTAATCCAAAAGCTGTCATGATCTCCACATCTTTTTCAGAGAAAATGACCCAAGAGTTGCCTACAGTTTGGTGACTAAAAATAAAAACTGTAGACTCAACTTCTCCCACTAACAAAAATATAAAAAATAAGAGTGAAAGATTTCTCCAAATTGTAAAATCAATATAGAAAAGATATTATTTTTCTAAATTTTAAATCCACAGAAGTCATTTCACTATTTTGTAACTTTTAACACTCACACTTAAAAATAAAAGATTCTGTAGGCCGGGCGCGGTGGCTCAAGCCTGTAATCCCAGCATTTTGGGAGGCCGAGATGGGCAGATCACAAGGTCAGGAGATCGAGACCATCCTGGCTAATTCGATGAAACCCCGTCTCTACTAAAAAATACAAAAAAGTAGCCAGGCGTGGTGGCGGGCCCCTGTAGTCCCAGCTACTCGGGAGGCTGAGGCAGGAGAATGGCGTAAACCCGGGAGGCGGAGCTTGCAGTGAGCTGAGATCTGGCCACTGCACTCCAGCCTGGGCGACAGAGCGAGACTCCGTCTCAAAAAAAATAAATAAATAAAAATAAAAAATAAAAGATTCTGCATGGAAATGTAAGTTGTGCTGTAAGTATATCATAGAAAACTAAATTTAAAATTGTTTACTTACCATTAACTCTTAAAAATTTCATTTCTATATTTTCAAGCAAGTTTTATAATTGCCATACTTTGTGTAAGAATCTAGTAAGATTTTTCTTTTAAAAACAAAGCTAACTAATTTAATCCTCTTACCTGTGGACAGTATTGCGCCTTTTATTTTTATTTATTTATTTTTCTGACAGAGTTTTGCTCTTGTTGCCCAGGCTGAAATGCAGTGGCCCGATCTTGGCTCACCGCAACCTCGAGCTCCCAGGTTCAAGCGATTCTGCTGCCTCAGCCTTCCAAGTAGCTGGAATTACAGGCATGCATCACCACACGTGGCTAAATTTGTATTTTTAGTAGACACAGGGTTTCACCATGTTGGTCAGACTGGTCTCAAACTCTTGACCTCAAGTGATTTGCCCACCTTGGCCTCCCAAAGTGCTGGGATTACAGGTGTGAGCCACCATGCCTGGCTTTTTTTTTTTTTTTTTGATATAGTCTCGCTCTGTCGCCCAGGCTGTAGTGCAATGGCACAATCTCAGCTTAGTCTAATCTTCGTCCCGGTTCAAGCAATTCTCCTGCCTCAGCCTCCTGAGTAGCTGGGATTACAGGCACCCACCACTATGTCTGGCTATTTTTGTAGTTTTAGTAAAGACTGGGTTTCACCATATTCATTAGGCTGGTCTCAAACTCCTGACCTCAGGTGATTCATCTGCCTCAGCCAGAATTTCTCTTTAAATTCAGCAAGATTCAGTTTTACATGGAAAAAAATGTCCTCTCCATATGAAGAATCAATCTTCACCATTGATATTTTTCATCTTTGACTTGAAGTTATAAACTAACTTCAGCAGGAATATTTATGAATTATTATGGATAATCTATTACACAGCGAGAATATGTTTGCTACATTTATATATAAAAACATCCTCATGACTTATGAAGCCTCCCTAGTACTTAGCTGAACAAATTGACTCAATAAATATACTTATGTCAATTATAAAAAGTAAAAGGAACAATCACTAAAAGAAAACCTATATATCGTTCTCCTCTTAAAAGAACAAAATGGGGTGCTCTAATAAAATGTTAACGTAATATACTACTTTTGGAATTACATCTAAAAATTATTTTGTGTGCACTAAATTTCATAAAAACTCTTATAATCACAGACCAGCTCACATAATGAATACCTCATAAAATATAAAACAAAAAAATGGAAGAAACAAAAAAAAATGGGTCTAGCATAAGTATCAGGCAAGTATATACAGAGAATTCGGGAAGATTCAGAACTGTAAGTCATAGGCAGTACAGTAATAAATTCAATACAAACTAAAAAGTATATATTTGCTTTCAGCATTTAGGTTTTTAGTTTTATAGTAGTCACCACATTAAAATGATTTTTGTTCCCATATTGTCCTTTTCTTCTGAAAATATGTACAAACTCATATGCACACACACGCACTTAATTCCATAATTTTCTTACACCTAAGGTTTGTCTTTAGACTAATATCCATTTAACTCTATGTGAATCAAAACTAAAAGTCTGTATATGTTTGCAGGCAGACAGGCCACATGTTCAAAGAAAAATATATAGAAAATTTGAAAAAATATTTATTTTTTGAGATAGAGCCTCACTCTGTTGCCCAGGCTGGAGTGTAGTGGGGTGATCTTGGCTCACTGCCAACCTCCACCTCCCAGGTTCAAGTGATTCTCCTGCCTCAACCTCTTGAGTAGCTGGGATTACAAGCACATGCCACCACGCCTGGCTAATTTTTATTTTTTTATTTTTTGAGACGGAGCCTCGCTCTGTTGCCCAGGTTGGAGTGCAGTGGCCGGATCTCAGCTCACTGCAAGCTCCGCCTCCTGGGTTCACGCCATTCTCCTGCCTCAGCCTCCCGAGTAGCTGGGACTACAGGCGCCCGCCACATCGCCTGGCTAGTTCTTTGTATTTTTTAGTAGAGACGGGGTTTCACTGTGTCAGCCAGGATGGTCTCGATCTCCTGACCTCGTGATCCACCTGTCTCGGCCTCCCAAAGTGCTGGGATTACAGGCTTGAGCCACTGCGCCTGGCCAATTTTTATATTTTTAGTAGAACGGGGTTTCTGCATATTGGGCAGGCTGGTCTCGAACTCCTGACCTCGAGATCCACCCCCTCACTCAGCCTGTCAAAGTGCTGGGATTACAGACGTGAGCCACCACATCTGGTATGAAAAAATATTTATTAAGAATTTAGAAATGAATTTCATTTATACTTTGTAATTGTTATTATGACCATAAAAATAACCCTGTGGTAAATAAAAATTTAATTGTACATTTTACAATTTTTAAAAAGTGTAGAACTGGATTGTTTGTAAAACAAAGGAGAAATGCTACAGATGATGGATGCCTCACTTAACCCTGTTATTATTATATGTTGTATTCCTCTATTAAAATATGCCATAGGCTGGGCATGGTGGCTCAAGCCTGTAATCCCAGCACTTTGGGAGGCCAAGGTGGGTGGATCACCTGAGGTCAGGAGTTCAAGACCAGCTTGGCCAACACGGTGAAACCCCATCTCTACTAAAAATACAAAAATTAGCCGGGCTTGGTGGTGGGTACCTGTTATCCCAGCTACTCGGGATGCTGAGGCAGGAGAGTCGCCTGAAACCAGAAGGCAGAGGTTGTAGTGAGCCGAGATCATGCCAATGCACTCTAGCCTGGGTGAAAGAGTGAAACTCAGTCTCAAAAAACAAACAAACAGACAAAAGAATCTCTCTTATCTTTGATGCAGTAACAGTTAATCCCATGCTTTCACATGTAATCCAACAGGAATGAAGACACAGTAGGAAATAATTTCAGAGTTGAATGATGACATTATTCACTTTTCAAAAACTCTGTAATATTTTTCAAGAAATAAAAGTATACTTTGAATGTAGTTATAACTCTGCAAAAAACCTTCTGATCCTCTTAAAAGTTCTATACAAATACTTTTTCTACCAACTTTAGTTTTAGATTTTCTATACTCAGCACTCTGATTTAGTATATCTGAAGTGTCAGTACCTTATATATTTCTACCACAAATTCTCTGATATTTCCATAGACTTAATTATGGATTAAATATTTTACTTTTATTGCATCTGGAAAAATACATTCTAGTATAATTCTGTTGATTTCTAAGCTGAAGTTTTTGAAAAATTGTTTTTCCAAATTTATTATACTTGCACAATTTTTCAATATAAATTCCCTGATGTTGAACAAAGTTTGATCAACTGCTTCAGAGTTTTCCTCTAGAAGAAAATGTCTACAATAAGATCTGTGATACAAGTAAAGGCACTACAATCCTCTTTATATTTGTAATGTTCAACTTCAAAATAAATACTCTTCACTATAAAAGCTTATATTTTCTGAAAGATCTTTTGACAGTAATTGCACTTATAATGCTTCTATTAAGTATGAACTCTCTGGTGTTGAGCAAAATGTGAGCAGCTATTAATGGTTTTTTCATAGTCTTTATATTTGTATAATTTATCTCAAGTATAAATGTTTTCCTGGCAATAAAGTGTGAGCATTGGTTAAAAGTTTTGCCACATTGTTCACACATGTAGGCATTTTCTCCAGTATGAATTATCTTACCTACAATCAAGTGTGACAACCATTTAAAGGCTTTGTCTCACTCTTCAGAATTCTAGGATTTCTCACCAGTATAATTTTTTTTATGGTTAGAAAAGTTTGAAGCATTGTCAAAAGTAGTCACATCTTTCTGATTTGTAGAGTTTCTCTCCAGTATAATTATCTTATGTCTGTTAAGAATTGAGGGCTTCTTAAAGGCTTTGCCATGTTTTTCACACTTGTGGGGTTTCTGTACAGTAAATTTTTTTTGAGACGAAGTCTTACTCTGTTGTCAAACTGGAGTGTAGTGATGCAATCTTGGCTCACTGCAACCTCCGCCTCCCAGGTTCAAGTGATTCTCCTGCCTCAGCCTCCCAAGTAGATGGGAATACAGACACGCGCCACCATACCCAGATAATTTTTGTATTTTTAGTAGAGACAGGGTTTCACCATGTTGGCCAGGATGGTCTCGATCTCTTGACCTCGTGATCCGCCCGCCTCAGCCTCCCAAAATGCTGGGATTACAGGCATGAGCCACTGCACCGGCCAATTTTTAATGCTTAGTAAGAGTTGAGGACTGCTTAAAGGCTTTCCCACATTCTTCACATTTGTAGAGTTTCTCTCCAGTATGAATTATTTTGTTTAATAAGGTTTGAGGACTGGTTAAATGCATTGCCACATTCTTCACAGTTGTAGGGTTTCTTTCTAGTATGAATTTTCTTATGTTTAGTAAGAGTTGAGGATTGGTTAAAGGCTTTACCACATTCTTCACATTTGTAAGATTTCTCTCCTGTATGAATTATCTTATGTTTAGTAAGATTTGAGGATCGGTTAAAAGCTTTGCCACATTCTTCACATTTGTAGGGTTTCTCTCCAGTGTGAATTCTCTTATGTGTAGTAAGGATTGATGATTGGCTAAAAGCTTTGCCACATTCTTCACATTTGTAAGGTTTCTCTCCAGTATGAATTATCTTATGTGCAGTAAGTTGTGGGGACCGGTTAAAGGCTTTGCCACATTCTTCACATTTGTAGGGTTTCTCTCCAGTATGAATCATCTTATGTGTAGTAAGGTTTGAGGACTCATTAAAGGCTTTGCCACACACTTCACATTTGTAAGGTTTCTCTCCAGTATGAATTCTTTTGTGTTTAGTAAGGGTTGAGGACCAATTAAAGCCTTTGCCACATTCTTCACATTTGTAAGATTTTTCTCCAGTATGAATTATCTTATGTTTAGTAAGGTATGAGAATCGGTTAAAAGCTTTGTCACATTCTTCACATTTGTAGGGTTTCTCTCCAGCATGAATGAACTTATGTGTAGTAAGGGTTGAAGACTGGTTAAAAGCTTTGCCACATTCTTCACATTTGTAGGGTTTCTCTCCAGTATGAATTATCTTATGTGTAGTAAGGTGTGAGGACCGGTTGAAGGCTTTGCCACATTCTTCACATTTGTATGGTTTCTCTCCAGTATGAATTATTTTATGTGTAGTAAGGGTTGAGGACTGCTTAAAAGCTTTGCCACATTCTTCACATTTGAAGGGTTTCTCTCCAGTATGAATTCTCTTGTGTCTAGTAAGGGTTGAGAACCATTTAAAGGCTTTGCCACATTCCTCACATTGGTAAGAATTCTCTCTAATATGAATTCTTTTATGTTGACTTAGGTGTAAAAGCATGCAAAATGATTTGCCACATTTTTTACATTTGAAAGGTTTCTTTCCAGTCTGTCTTGTCTTATGTCTATTTGCATTTAAAAGTTTATGAAAGACTTTCACATATTTATCACATGGAAATATTTTGCTCTGGGTAGTTGTCAAACACTGGTTTAGTTCATTATAACCTTCTTTGTACACCTTATACTCATCTACACTTGTGGAGCCTTTTCTTAACTGTAAATTCTCATGTTCACATTTTCCGTATCTTCTCAGTATCACTTGTTGGAAAGAATCTTTTATGTCTTGCTCTGGCCAAAGGTCTTTGGTAAAATAAGAACACATAGCTGAAAGAAATAAAAACAACAAATTATTCAACTTACTAGACTCTGATAAACATACTTTACAAATCTAACCTATATTATACAAACTACATAAGCAAGATGCCATAATAAAATACCATAGGCCCTAAATCCTTCATAGACATATAAATGCAATAAAAACATACTGACCAAAATACATTTGAGGACAACTTAAAATAAGTGTGTAAATTTCCCCAGGTGAGTACACAGGTGAGTACACAGGAATACAAAGACACAGAAGAAAAAGAAAAGTCTGTGGCATTTAGCCAACACAGTTCTTCCTACTCCCCAATATAACATAGTGCCTTTCTAAGTAAATGCTAACTTTTCATTTCTTTTTTAATAAACAAGTAAAATACTGGCACATACATCTATATTACTTGCTTCTAGGGGCCTTTCCAGAAACTGGTCTCCCATAACATAAAGCGCTGAAAAAAATGGTGGTATATTTTGGAATTACAGTTTGGGTCTCCTGAGACCAAAGGTAAATGTTACAGCAGCAGAGAGACTGCAGTACCACAGACAGAAAACAGATATAGCAAATGATTGCTGATGAAGATGAAACAGAAATAAACTCCTTTAACTAAAAAATAAACACAAAAATTTAGACAAGACACACTCTAAGAACATGTTTGAGAGTCTCACAGGACCTCAAACCAAGATAATTGTTTTCAGACTACGCCAGGACAAAGCTACATTATAAACAATGTGACAGGTAGCTTTATTTAATGTTCAAATATTAATCAAAGATTACAATGAATACAAAATAGGGCAAAATCTTTCCATCAAAATTATAAGATTTTCAGAAAGAAACCATAAAAAGATGTATACATTAATTTTTAAAATTGAAAATAAATTGAATACTCAATGAGTAAAATAGGAACACAGAACTACAGAAAAGCAGAAAAAAATGAGGATAAGAACAAAAATATTTAAAATACCCCAAAAAACAGAAATTATAAAGGAAAATATAAAAAATTTGGAAAGAAAAAATGTCAAAATGAAGAAGCTCAACAAACACACTAGGATACACACAAAGATATTTATAACAAACACATATATAAGCACAATTTCGAAGAAGAGAATGGAGCTGCAAGATAAAAACGACATGTCATTTACAAGTATAGTTTTATGAGATAGCTGGTAAACTGTCAAAAAAACTTTGCAGGCCAGAAGGAAACTATGTGATATAGTCAAAGTCCTGAAAAAAATAGCTATCAAGTTAGAATAATACCATCAGCATATCTGTCCTGCCAAGTAGAAAGAAAAAAACCTTCAAAAATTACCAAATAATGAAAAAGTATATTGGCTCTTCATATGCCTTACATATAAAAGGTGCTGATAACCGTTGCTGCTACTGAAAATAACATGATTCAACAAAACAACACAACATCATATAAAATACATTATTCTCTGGGAAAAAAATGCACATACACAAAAATGGAAGTTCTTAGCATTATAATAATAGTGCAAAAATATTAATTATTCTCTAAAATTTGAAAGGTAAAAGCATAGAAATCATTATAAACATTTGTTAGTGAATATACAATATAAAATATATAATTGGCAACATCAATGACAAATTTGAAGGCAGATATAATGAGAAAAAAAATTTTCAATGCAACTAAAGTTCTTTCTTTTTTTTTTTTCTTTTGATATGCAGTCTCACTCTGTCACCAGGCTGGAGTGCAGTGGTGCAATCTTAGCTCACGGCAACCTCCACCTCCTGAGTTCAAGTGATTCTCCTGCCTCAGCCTTCCAAGTAGCTGGGACTACAGGTGTGCACCACCATGCCCAGCTAATGTTTGTATTTTTAGTAGAGATGGGGTTTCATCTTGTTGGCCAGGATGGTCTCGATCCCTTGACCTTGTGATCCACCCGCCTCGACCTCCCAAAGTGCTGGGAATATAGGTGTGAGCCACCACATCCGGCCTGAAGTTCATTTTTTACCAGATTAAAATACATTGTTGTATCTTTTAGAGGTTTTATATAATCCCCAAGGTAACCCCAAGAATATATTTGCACAGATACATAAAACAAATGGGAAAGAAATAAAAGCATATCAAGATAAGTATAACAAAGACACAAAGACAGAAAAAGAGAAAATGAGGAACAAAGATACAAGAAGCAAATAAAACAATAAAATAACAGTAGTAAGTCTTCATAAGTGGAGAAAAATAAAATTCTTTTGAGACAAGCAAATGCTAAGGAACACATCATTACCAGGCCTGCCTTGCTAGAGCTCCTGAAAGAAGCGCTAAGGTTAAGGAGAAAAAACCATTACCAGTCATTGCAAAAACACACTGAAGTACAAAGATCAATTATGCTATAAACAACTACATCAACAACTCTGCAAAATAAGCAGTTAGCACCACTTGGACAGAATCAAAATCACACATAACAATATTAACCTTAAATATAATAGGCTGAATACCTGAATTCAATGACACAGAAGGGCAAGCTGGATAAAGAGTCACAACACAGTTTGGGACCAGCCTGGCCAACATAGTGAAACCCCATCTCTACTAAAAATACAAAAAATTAGCTGGGTGTGGTGGCGGGCGCCTGTAATCCCAGCTACACAAAACCACACAGCTACATCAAAACTGAACAACCTACTCCTGAATGAATTTCCTGAATGAACAACTTGCTCCTCTTTATTTCTGGGTAAATAATACAACTAAATCAGAAATCAAAAAAGTATTTGAAAACAATGAGAATGAAGAGACAATGTACCAGAATCTCTAGAACACAGCTAAAGCAGTGTAAGAGGGAAATTTATAGCACTAAATACTCACATCAAAAAGTTAGATCTTAAATGGACACCCTAACATCATAACTAAAAGAATGAGAAAACCAAGAGCAAACAAAACTTAAAGCTAGCAGAAGACAAGAAATAACCAGATTCAGACTGGAAGTGAATGACACTGAGACCCAAAAAAACCCTTCAAAAAACTCAATGAATCCAGGAGCTATTTTTTTTTTTTTGACAAAATTAATAAAATAGACTGCTAGCTAGACTAATAAAGAAAAAAAGAGAGAAGAATGTAATAGACAATAAAAGTGATAAAGGGGATCTCATCACTGACCACACAGAAATAAAAACAATGTTCAGAAAATACTATAAACACCTCTGTGCACATAAACTGGAAAATCGAGAAGAAATGGAAAAATTCCTGGACACATCTATCCTTTCAAGACTGAACCAGAAGAAGTTGAATCCCTGCATAGACCAATAACAAGTTCTGAAATTGAGGTGGTAACAAATAGCCTACTAACCAAAAAAGTCCAGGATCAGATAAATTTATAGCTGAATTCTACCAGAAGCACAAAGAGGATCTGGTACCATTTCTTCTGAAACTATTCCAAATGATGGAAAAGGAGGGGTCTCTCCTTAACTCATTCTATGAGGCCAGCATGGCAGAGATATAACAAAATAAAACAACAACAACACACACACACATACACACAAAAACCTTCAAGCCAATATTCCTGATAAATATCAATGCAAAAATTCTCAATAAAATACTGGCAAAGTGAATCCAGCAGCACGTTAAAAAGCTTTATTCCTGGGATGCAAGGCTGGTTCAACATACAAAAATTGATGTAATTCAAGTCAGCTTTATTTCCAGGATGGAAGGCTGGTTCAACATACAAAAATCGATGTAATTCATCACATAAACAGATCTAAAGACAAAAACTACATGATTATCTCAAAAATGCAGAAAAGGCCTTCGATCAAATTTAACATCCCAACATGTTAAAAACTCTCAATAAACAAGGTATTCACGAAACATATATCAAAATAATAAGAGCTATCTATGACAAACCCATAGCCAATACCAAAGGGCAAAAGCTGGAAGCATTCCCCTTGAAAAATGGCACTAGAAAACGATGACCTCTCCCACCACTCTTATTTAACATAGTATTCCAATTTCTGACCAGAGAAATCAGGCAAGAGAAATAAATAAGTGATATTCAAACAGGAAGTCAAACTGTCTGTAGACGACATGATCCTAGATCTAGAAAGCCCCACTGTCTCAGCCCAAAAGCTTCTTCATCTTATACGCAACTTCAGCAAAGTCTCAGGATACAAAATTAATGTGCAAAAATCACAAGCATTTCAATACGCCAACAATAAACAAGCAGAGAACCAAATCATGAATAAACTCCCATTCACAATTGCTACAAAGATAACAAAGTACCAAGGAATAAATCTAACAAGGGAAGTGAAGGACCTCTTCAAGGAGAACTACAAACCACTGTGTAAGAAAATCAGAGAGGACACAAACAAAAAAGACAGAAAGAATCAATATTGTAAAAATGCCCATACTGCTCGAAGTAATTTATAGATTCCATGCTATTCTGACTAAACTACCACTAACATTCTTCACAGAATTAGAAAAAAAAATTTTTAAACTCATATGAAAACCCAAAAGACCCCATATAGCCAAGGTAATTTTTTTCTTTTCTTTTTTTTTTTTTGAGACAGAGTCTCACTCTGTCACCCAGGCAGGAGTGCAGTGGCATGGTCTCAGCTCACTGCAACCTCTGCCTCCCGGGTTCAAGCAATGCTCCTGCCTCAGCCTCCCAAGTAGCTGGGATTACAGGAATACGCCACCATACCCGGCTAATTTTTTGTATTTTTAGTAGAGGCAAGGTTTCACCATGTTGGCCAGGCTTCTCTCGAACTCCTGACCTCAAGCGATCCACCTGCCTTGGCCTCCCAAAATGCTGGGATTGCAGGCATGAGCCACTGCACCTGGCCTAGCCAAGAGAATTCTAAGCAAAAAGAACAAGGCTGGAGGCATCATGGTATCCAACTTCAAACTACACTACAAAGCTGTAGTAACCAAAGCTGCCTGGTACTGTTATAAAAACATACATATAGACCAGTGGAATAGAAGAGAGAACTCAGAAATAAGACTACATATCTACAACCATCTGATCTTTGAAAACCCTGACAAAAACAAGCAATGGAAAAG